ACTCATGACCCTGAGACCAAGAGTCACATGCTCTACTGACTGAGCTAGCCAGGCACTCCATGAAAATCAAATTTTAAAACACCAAATACATATTTATATCTATTGTATGTATACAGAAATGTGTATAAAGTATGTAAAATTGAAACTGAGTATGAAAATAAGTGGGAGAAAAAACTATGCCAAGAAATGCTATAAAAAAGAAAGATTTATTTATTCATTTGAAAGAGAAAGAGCACATGGGCAAGGGAACAGGCAGAGGGAGAGGGGGACAAGCAGACTTCCCGCTGAGTAGGAAGTCTGACCCGCAGGACCCCAAGATCATGACTTGAGCTAAAATCAAGAGTCAGGTGCTTAACAGACTGAGTCATCCAGCTGCTCCAAGGAATGATTTAACATCTATTAAGAATGTGAGTTCAATCTCTAAAGGTCACATGCCTTTTAGGAATTTTTTCTATCAGCTCAATCAGGACCACCTTACAGGTCCCACAGAGTTCAAGCTAAACGTCAACTAACCGCACTGAGAGCTCACCATGGCCTGGGTAGCCTTCTAAGTACTTCAGCTCCACTGACTTTAAAAAAAAAAAAAAAATTGAGATAAAATTCACATGACACTTCACTACATAGAATTCACCATTAAGAGGTGCCTGGCTGACTTAGTTGGTGGAGTGTGTGACTCTTGATCTCAGGGTTGTGGATTCAGGCCCCGCATTGGGCATAGAGATCAAGAGAAAGAGAGAGAGAGAGAGAGAGAGAGAGAGAACAAGTCAGGGGGCAGGAGCAGAGGGAGAGGGAGAAGCAAACTCCCTGCTTAGCAGGGAGCCTGATATGGGGTACATGTGGGTGGGAAGGCGGGGTGCTTGATCCCTAGGACCCCAGGATCATGACCTGAGCCAATTAAATTGTCCCTAGACCTCAGACCTTGTTCAAGATTAAGGTTGCCTGCTTCACAGTTTACATCATTTATTTGTATTGTTCATGAATTAGCCTGAAGGGTCAGTGCTGGGTGGGGACCTGGAGGAGGGGTGTTTGTTTCCTCAGTGATTATTTATTTATTTATTTATTTATTTATTTATGATAGTCACAGAGAGAGAGAGAGAGAGAGGCAGAGACACAGGCAGAGGGAGAAGCAGGCTCCATGCACCGGGAGCCCGATATGGGATTCGATCCCAGGTCTCCAGGATTGCGCCCTGGGCCAAAGGCAGGCGCTAAACCGCTGCGCCACCCAGGGATCCCTCCTCAGTGATCTAAAGCAGCCTCCAGGAGCTGAGGCCTTGCCCACCTTGTCCTCCACTGGTGCTGCAAGACCCTCAGAAAGGAATCTGGCCTCTCACTGGGGTCTTGATCACAATAAGAAAGATCATCAAAGAAAGTGAGGCTTGTGTAAGTTGATCAGATTCTAGGGCAATGGAAGCCCCAGCCTGAGTCAGGAACAGCAGGAATGGAGGCAAGGAGGCCCAAGGTCTAGGGAAGAATGAGGGGCAAAGGGCACCATGAGACACCTACTAATCAGAAGGTGGGAGCAAAGGCAAGGCACACTCTGGGAATGTGCCCCAGGTATCAGGGGTCTGGGAGGCAGACCTGTCTGCATGGCTCAGCCACCTGAAGAATGGGGCCATTCCTATCCCACCTGCTGGGAGATGGAAAGGAACACTGGTATAAAAAGTCAGCTAGTGAGGGGCCCTTCCTTCCACTGTGGGTGATGATGCCCAGAGGCTGTCACTCTGTCCTGTGGGCACACACCCTCCCAGCCACCTGGGAGGTGGCAAGTTCTACAGTAGAATGGGAGGAAATGTTTTCCAAGCCGATCTACTGGCAAGTTTTGGCATCACAGAGAAATGGCAGGTGCCTTGTCAGGCACCAGGAATTCCTGTTCAGGACCTGCCTTCCTTAGGGCTAGTATGCCCAGGGCACTGTAAATTACAATGAAAACACTAATGGTAATAACTACTGCATTTGTCAAATGTGCATTTTGTGCTAGGAATGGTACAAGGGCTGTCCATCCATCCATCCATCCATCCATCCATCCATCCATTCACCTATCCATCCATCTATCCATCACTCCCAACCTTACAATAACCTCAAAAAAGGCACCGTCCTTGCCTTCAAAGGTGAAGGAATGGAGACTCACAGAGTGAATGGCTTAATTAAGGTCACCCAGCTGGTAAGTGACACTGGCCTCCTCCCAGAAGCATTGCTATGACAGCCACTCAGGTCACACCCCAGGAGCCTAACTACCCTACCATCCCCTGTCCCAAAGATGAGAGAAGAGGCTGCTGCTCAGGTTGGATGTGAAATGGGAGCTGTTGATTGGAGAGGAGGCAGGACATGCTGCCTGCAGCAGTCACAGTGGCTAAGGGCTGTTGTCCCCACCCCAACTCCATACTCAGACACCCGGTACAGGAGATAATCTCAGACATTGGCTGGCCCAGTGGTCCTGAAGTATGTCTGAGCACTAGGTTCACTGGGGAACATTTAAATATACAGATTCCTGGGATGCCTGGGTGGCTCAGCAGTTGAGTGTCTGCCTTTGGCTCAGGGCGTGATCCCAGAGTCCTGGGATTGAGTCCCACATTGGGTTCCCTGGATGGAGCCTGCTTCTCCCTCTGCCTGTGTCTCTGCCTCTCTCTCTCTCTCTTTCTCTCTCCCTGTGTCTCTCATGAATAAATAAATAAATAATTTTTAAAAAATACAGATTCCTGGATACAGAGATTTGGATTCTGTAGATTGGGTGGGGGTGGGTAGGGCAGGAATGTGTATTTTATGGCATGTCTGATGGTTCCGATATAGCACCAGCATTGAGAAGCTGCAGCTGGTCCAACCCCTTCACTAAATCCCATCACGAACACTGGATCTCAGATGAGGGAACTGTCCCCCCCCCCCCTCCCATCCCCCCTCCCACCTCCTATGGTCATGTAGGCAGGAAGCAGCAGAGTAGAGATTCAGCCCAGGTGGGCCTAGCCACCAACATCAGACTGCATGTTCTGGGAGGAGAAGCCAACTTGAAAGTTGCCCCTAGGGACGCCTGGGTGGCTCAGCAGTTGAGCGTCCACCTTTGGCTCAGGGAGTGATTCTGGGGTTCTGGGATCGAGTCCCCACATCAGGCTTCCTGCATGGAGCCTGCTTCTCCTTCTGCCTGTGTCTGCCTCTCTCTGTGTCTCTCATGAATAAACAAATAAAATATTTTAAAAAATAAATATAGAAAGTTTGCCCCTATCTCTGGAGCATGGAACTGACAGATAAGTCATAAGGTAAAGGATGGACTCAATATGTAAATATTTGACATTTCTAGAAAACTTATTTCCAAAAAAAGTAAAAATCCAGCATACCGGAAGCAATTTTTTTTAAGATTTTATTTATTTATTCATGAGAGACACACAGAGAGAGAGAGGAGAGAGAGGCATAGACACAGGCAGACGGAGAAGCAGGCTCCATGCAGGGAGCCCGACGTGGGACTCAATCCGGGTCTCCAGGATCAGGCCCTGGGCCGAAGGCAGGCGCTAACCTGCTGAGCCACCCAGGCTGCTGCCCACTGGAAGCAATTTCATAGCAAATAAGACAAAGAGTCAATATATAGTTATGATATCTATCCTAGTCTATCTAGACAGTGCATTCAACTCAAGCAGGAAACCAAGGGTTAACTGGCCAAATAAGTAAAGAGCTTAAATATGCATACAATCATTAGTAAATAAACATTTAATAGAAAATGTTTAATCTGGTTGGTAAACTTTAATATGTAAACTAAATTTACACAATATTTAAAACTATATGTGTGTGTGTGTATATATATATATATACACCTTTGTAGAAAAGGGTTGAGAAGGATACACATGGTGGTAGAGCTATCTGACTGCCACTTAATATCCATTTGCACACACCCACCCAGTTTTTTTCTAAATTAACCAAGCTCTTCTATTATGGGGGGTGGTGGGGAAGAAGCAACATGCTCAGGCTAAGAATTATACTCTCCAGCCTCCTTTATGGATAAAGGTAGCCAATTAGAAGCAAGCTGAGGTCATAGGGCAGGGGGACTTTGGAGGAAGCCCTTTAGAGGACGCTGATTCAGCTGGAGGAAACACCATGCCCCCCTCCAGCCTCCCTGCTTCCTATTGCTGGGAATGCAGACTTAATGGCTGGAACTCCAGGGACCGTATTAGACCATGTGGAGCCTTTAGGGATGCAAGTTAGGAACTGAGGGGACAGAGTATAAAGTTAGAAGCTTGGGTTCTTCATAGCCAATGATCACAGGCACACCATACCAGCCCTGAAATGTTCTGTCCAGACCTCTTCCATATGGAAGAAAAAGAAATATATTCATTTGCTTAAGCTTATGTTACTTTGGTTTTCTGTACTACACACTTAAACCTAAACTTAACTGATAGGACTACCACACTTTGCTTTCTATGCTATGGTATTGCCTGCACTGGTTATTATTACTTTTTACAATAAGAGCATATTCATGTGTTATTTACATACACATTTGTTTTGGAGCCCCAGAGAATGCAAATTGAGTGCCCGTCCCACCACTACCTACCTAGGTGACTTGGACAGTCAATTAACTCTCTGAGCCTGTTCCCTCATCTATAAAATGGACATGCGGGATCCCTGGGTGGCGCAGCGGTTTGGTGCCTGCCTTTGGCCCAGGGCGCGATCCTGGAGACCCAGGATCGAATCCCACGTCGGGCTCCCGGTGCATGGAGCCTGCTTCTCCCTCTGCCTGTGTCTCTGCCTCTCTGTCTCTCTCTGTGTGACTATCATGAATAAATAAATAAAATGTTTAAAAAAAATAAATAAAATGGACATGCTTATAATAGAACTTATCTCATTGGGTCGGTGTGGAGCTTAAATGAGCTAATGCAGATAAAATTCTTGGCATCATGCCTGGCTTAGAGCTAGGACTGTACTACATAATGCCACCATATAGGGACTGTTGGTGGCAGAACCAATAAGAAAAACCCAGGACATGTTGTTGAATAAAAAAAAAACAGCTTGCAAAATTGGCGCATGAATATGATCCCTTTAGTGAGAAATTATTTTTATTTCTACATCTATATGTATACATATGCATCAAGATGTTTGGAGGGCTGGTTATCCAAATGTTAGTAGTGGTAACTTCTGGGTAGTAGAATTTTTGCTTTCTTCTCTATGGTTGAAAAAGAGCATTATTATTTTTTGAGCAGGAAAAGAAAAAAAGAAAACTCTTCTGGAAAACTCTAACAGTTCACACCAAGAATCATTAGAGCATTCTGAACCTTTAACCCAACTACCTTACTCTTGGGAATTGACCTAAGGAAATAATTCAAATGAAAGAAGCTAAATTCATAAAAGCATGCGCTGCAGCATGATTTATAGTAGAGGAAAACGGAAAAGTTAATTAAATTATTAACTTTAATAATTATTAAATTACTTACCCATTGGAACATTGTACAACAATTAAAATGAGAAAGAGGACAGCCATGTAACAACGTGGAACGATGCTTATGACCCAACAGGAGGCCAAAGGGGCAGATGCAAAATGAGATCTGTGCAGGCAAAAATCTTGCATGCATTTGTTTTTTTTTTTTAATTTTAATTTATTTATGATAGGCACACAGTGAGAGAGAGAGGCAGGCTCCATACACCGGGAGCCCAACGTGGGATTCGATCCCGGGTCTCCAGGATTGCGCCCTGGGCCAAAGGCAGGCGCTAAACCGCTGCACCACCCAGGGATCCCTCTTCCATGCATTTGGATGAGGGTTGCAAAGGAACACAGGCCAATAAAAAACACTGAATTCCTTGGGGCCATTGATTGGTGGGGATTTTTTTTTCTTTTTCATTTAGAATTCCAATGTTTCTATGATGTTGTTTGTGTAATATTTTTTTTAAGTGGCTTTAAAAGTCCCCTTAGGGAAAAGAAAGGAAAGCAGAGAGAGCAATATAGGAGGGAGGGGCTCTGCATAAGAGAAATCCAGAGGGTATCTAAAATCCAGGGGCAATATTTCCTGCTTGGCCTTCTACCTGGTCGTCTCAGAGATTGTATCCACTTGACACCCTGACTTGAGAGTGATCTGATGGACAGAAGAGTTGCCAAGTTAGGATGGCAGCCGGTTAGCTGATAATGAAGCTAGGGTTGAGTGCTCTTCAGATTGGGATCATCTGGACAAGTCGATCATGCTTGCTATTGACAAGATTACAGAGAAATGAACACTGGTCAGGGAGTGAACAAGCAGGCTTCCTAGAGGATAGTTTGGCACTGTGTATTCAAAGGACTCCTCAGATTCAGCAATCCCACTTCTTAGGACTTATCCTAAACCTAAGGAAATGGTCAAGACAGTGCATAAAAATATTTACATAAGATGTTCATCACAGAGTTTATAATAATTTAACATTTAAACCCTCAGTCTCACCAAAAAGGAACTAGTAAACCGAATTTTGGCATAACCATGCAGTGGTACACTATGGAGCTACACTAACAGTGTATAGACACAAATCAGATGTGCAAAGATGCTCACCACATATTACATACAAGAAGCTTCCACAGCAAGACCTAGATTATGTATGTAAACACGTTCATTTGCCTATAAAAATTTCTACAAATACGCACCAGAATCCTGATGATGATTACTCTTTGAATGTTGGGTTTAAACATGGTATTAGCCAGTGTAGTCTCAATTACGCTGCAGTGATGCCCCGAAAACCTACCAGTTTCCAACAACAAGCGATAATTTCTCACTCCTGCTTATTTCTGTTGTGGTTGGCTGCTCCTCTGCCCCCCATCTTCACTCCAGGACCCAGATGGACAATCTCTACCTGAACACTGCAGGTCTCTGGAGTAGAGAGAAGAGACAGTGGCCCACTCACAGGCTCTTACAGATGGTGCCAGGCCACTGTCATGCTCCCCCCGCCGCGGGTCCAACAGGGCAGGCATATGCTCTTCCACAGGTCCTCAGGGAGGGGCATTCAAGGAAGGCTAGTAGACCTTTTGAACAATAATACAATCTACCATGAAAGTTAGTTTACCCTCGTCTTGGTCCATTTGGGCTGCTCTAACAAAAATCCCACAGACCAGGTGGCTTAAACCATAACCTTTGACTTTTTGGTTCTGGAGATGAGGAAGCTCAAGAACAAGGTGCCAGCAGATACGGTGTCTGGCAAGGGTCCACTTCCTGGTGCATAGATGTCTACCTTCTCTCCACGTTCTCTGGGGTCTCTTCTATAAAGGCCCTAATCCCTTTCATGAGGCTCTGCCTTGATGACCTAGTCACGGCCCAAAAGTCCCAACCTCCTAATACCATCACTTTGGGGATTAGGTTTCCAGTGATGAATTCCTGGGGGTAGGGAGCCACAAACACCAACTCTACAGCAATCCTATCTATTTCAGTCCTTTCCTTTGCAGCATGTAGTCCTGTCCCAGGAAGTGGGTGGGGTCACTGTTGGAGCCTCTTCAGGGGGGAAAACAGAGATACCAAGTCCAAGCTACCTGGCATGGGGCAGACGCTGCAGTTTCAAGCCTGAGGCAGAGGGGCCAGAAAGTGGTCAGAAATCTATCTAATTTAAGAGACAGGGTAACTGACCTCTTCTAAAATGATGATAGGACAGAAAGTTCTGGATGTCCTGAACTGTTATGCCAGGTCTGCTATTTATTCTTTTTTTTTTTAAGATTTTATTTATTTATTCATGAGAGACACAAAGAGAGAGATGCAGAGACATAGGCAGAGGGAGAAGCAGGCTCCATGCAGGGAACCCAACATGGGACTTGATCCCGGGACTCCAGGATCACGCCCTGGGCCAAAGGCAGGCGCTAAACCGCTGAGCCACCCAGGGATCCCCTAAAACGGAAATTAAAATAGGGGCGCCTGGCTGGCTCAGTCAGCAGAGAATGTGGCTCTTGATCTTGAGGTCTCAAAGTCGAGCCCCATGCTGGGTGCAGGGCCTACCAAATAAATAAAATTAAATTAAAAAAATAAAGTAAAATAAAATAAACAAAACAAAAAAATAAATATAAAATAAATAAAATAAAATAAATAAAATAATTAAATACAAATAAAATAAAATAAAACAAAACAAAATAAAATAGCTATCTTGCCTACTTCATACTACTTGGTGGGGGGGGGTGGGAAAACTCAGTCTAAGGCTTTAAAACTTAATGCTCTTGCACATGGAACGTTTGGTTCTTCATGTTGTAACCACATACTCACACATATTACATTTCCCCAGCTCCTCTCATCACTTTGTCCCCAAAGTGGCTTATCTCCCCTTTTATTTGTGTTCCTGCGCTTTCACTAGGGTGGGTGAAAAGATGACAACCAAAGCCTCAGTAGGGAGGGAAACTTCTCTGATGGGTGAGCCATGGAAGGCCCGGGATGCAGAGGGATGGGCTCCACTCCACTGTATCATACTGAGAAGTAGCCATGTCCCTCCCGCCTTGTTCCTCCAGACCTCAGCCTCTTAGGATAGAAAGATGTCAGGGCTTCCCAAACTGGCCTGCTCGTTAGAGCTATGTAGGAAGCATTTAAAAACGAGCTTCCCAGGCTCCGTCTCCCAGAGATTCTGACTCAGCTGGTGAGGGTGGGGCCAGGTCGAGTCACAGGTGATCCATGCCACCCCCACCTGGCTCTGGCTCCTGTCCAAGCCTTGCACTGGCCTCATGAGGTGCCCCAACAGGGAGGGCCCACACATCTCGGGTGGCACGAGCCCTGGCAGCTGGGAGAAACCTGAGTGCACCTAGGTTATCTGATGGTGCACCTGCCCTGGTCCTGTGCTCACTTCTTGAATATCAAGAACAGGGGAAGGCTCGGGAAGAAAGGCTCCCCCCCGCCCCTCAGCAGCACAGCTCACCCTGCAAGCTGCCCCATTGCCAGAGGAGATATTAAAAAACATATTCCCCTTTTCCTGCTCCTAGCCCTTCAGAACCAAATGCACTGCAGGGTTCTATAGCCTGCCTGCACATCTTTACTGATAACCCTGGAATTTATCGCTTGACACATCTATCAACACGGCTGTGAGTTCCTCGAGGGCTGGGACAGGTCTTACCTGCCCTGAGCAATGCCGAGGACACCATTAGTGCTTGCTGAATATTTCATGAATAAAGGAGAGGTAGTAACACTACCCATGTTACCACAGGGTCAAAGAAGGGCTGTTATTCACACCAACTAGGCTCCCAGGGAATGCACATGCTCATACATCTGAGGGGCGGAAGGAACCCCATCCTTAGTCACCCAGCTAGAGGCTGAGCTTACCATGCCTGGATCAGCACCAGTACTAAATTACTTTTGACATCACAAGACCCTTTGATATAAGGTAAGAAAGTCGGAGAGCCTCTTCACAGGAAAATGCCCTTTCTCTCTCCCATCACCCACCTGTCTGTCTGTCTCACATACACACACACCCTGCATACAATTTCTAGGTTAAGGGTTTCAGCCCTTTCAAAAAAGGGAAAGCTCCTTTTTTTTTTAATGGAAGTGTATCAGTTACAAATGTAGACAGTATATTAGAGTCACAACTGAATATTTTGCACCTCCCAGTCTAGTCACTGATTTAGGCAAGGATCATCAGTAAACACTAAACTTACTGAAGCAATGTTTGTCAGGGAACAGGGCATTTGTTTGGTTTCCAGGTATCACTCTACTGATAATCTATCAATTTCAAAGTGAAAAATGTACTTGTATGACAGATAGATTGGGCATCCACCACTTTAATCAAGTAATCAAAATTAGTATTATTGATAGTGGGCTGAGCTGACAGGATGTACCTTGAGCTACACAATATCTATATGTATGCTTGCCAAAAATATTTTACCTAAACTCAATCATTAGCAAACAGATACACCCAGAATGTGGGACATTCTATAAGACAATGGCCTTGACACTCAAAAATCTAGTGTCATAAAAATGAACACAAAGGAAGGAGGCTTTTTAAAAAAAGAACAAGGGCACCTGGGTGGCTCAGTCTGTTAGGCATCTGCCTTCAGCTCAGGTCATGATTTCAGGGTCCTGGGATTGAGCACTGCATCGGGCTCCTTGTTCAGCGGGGAGTCTGCTTCTCCCTCTCCCTCTGCTGCTCCTCCTGCTGGTGCGTGTGCTCTCTCTCTCTCTCTGTCAAATAAAATCATCAAAAAATAAAATAAATATAAAAGAGAACAAACAGACATAACAGCCAAAAATAAAGCATAAAACTTCACTGGAGCCTGTATCTCCCCTTTCCCCCTCTCTCCCACCCAGCCCAAGGAAATTTATAGTGTTTTGGAGACACCTGGGGAAATTTGAAAAAGGACTGTACACTAGCGCATGAATATACACTTTCTTAGGTTGATAATGGTGCCGTGCTATAGAGGAGAATGTTCTTTTTCTTAGGAGATACAAGCTAAAATGTTTGATGTCTACCTTTCTTTCAAATGGTGCAGCAAAGAAAAGAAAGAGCTAGCTATTCAAAGGTAAAGTAAATGTGGCCAAAATTTAGCAATCAGTAACTCGACAGGCTGAGCACAAAGTCTGCAAACATGGCTCTTTTCTTTTTTTTACAGGTCGAAGATGTCCTTGGTGACATTATGAATACTTCCTCTTTCCAGACTGTACAAACACCCTGCAGCGAAGGCTATGTGCTTTACATTGAACCATGCTTTTAACTTTTCTGTAGGCTTGAAATCTTTCAAAATGGAATGTATGGTGGGGGAAGGAATCTCAGCCCTGGACTAAGGCTCGGGCCCCCAAATCAGGATTCTACACTCCAGGGAAGGAGCCTGGACAAAGGAGAAGACCAAGGTCAAGGCGGGCTCATTGGATTTGCCAGGCTGTTTAAATAAAACCAGGCAAACGCTTCTGTAGGTAAAAGGCCAGGGCAAAGTTACTCTGAGTCTTTCCTGAATTCTTCTCTCCTCCCCTTTCCCTGTGAAGCTCGCCCCACCTTTACTCTCTTGAGAGAGGGACTGTAGCAGGGAGGGGAGGGGGGCACCCAGGAGGGTCTGTGAGGCTCTGGCACCCCAGACATAACCTGGTTGCCAAAAGAGAAAGAGTAAGGCTTGCTCTGATCCTTCTCACTGTCCTCAGAGTCTAGCAGGCCACTGTGCTGGATAGAGGCGCGGGTCCACCAGCACATGCCAGGCCCTCCATGTCCTGCCCGGTGCCTTAGGGGCTAGAAGTCTGAGAGCTAGAGTTCTCAGAATCTCTTGCCAGCCAGGATTCACTTTAGAGCCCACTAATGAGAGGCACTTGCAGAAACCATTACTCCCTTCTCTGGCAGTGGTGGGCAGACTTGATGCCAGTTCCCAAACTAGAAATGTCCTCCCAGGCACCTCACTTTAGCCATGCCCTTGGGGATGCCAAGGCTGGGCAATGACTGGAGCTGAAATGGCACCTGCCAGTGGAGAGCATCAGTCCAGCCCCCAAAGCCCACCTGGCATGGCACCGGGACACAGGAACGTTTGGTCATTCTCCTTGCACAAGGGAAGGGGCTCTCTGCTGCCAGGCGTCTTGGAGTCGAGGCAGGAGGGTCAGCAACAGAGAGTCTAGCACAGCCAGACCTTCCCAGGAACACCGAAGACCCCTGGAAAACCAAGAGGCCTGACATGACTGCCTCATCTTACCAATTCCAATCCTCATTCTCCACCAGTACGAAGCCCCAGCACCCACTGGCCCCTTCTCATCAGTCTTTTTCACTTCTCCTGGGCCTGTGGATCTGTAGTCAAGGCTCCCTGGGCCTCCTGACACCCACCCCTGCAACACACCTGTGATCCAGCAGCAAGATGCCCTGCGCCAGCAAAGCCTTCACCTCCTGGCTTGCTCCAAACACGTCCCATAGGCTCAGCTGGGGCTCAAACTGCTGCCAGTGCTGGGAAACCAGAAGGGTGAGAGGTGCAGAGACCGTGGGGGGGAGGGTAGCTGTCCAGGCTACTCTGGTCAGAGGTCTGGGGGTGTGGTGAAGGGCAAGGGAGGGTCCGGTCCCTGGCGGGGGCAGGGGGGGGTTGTGGCCCTAGTCCAGGGTTCTCACCACACTGCCCACTGTTTCTGCCCATCAGGCCTTAGCTGGGCTGAGGCCAACCTCCAGCTGCCAGCCCCAGAGAAAGATGTATGCATCTGTGTATGCACACAGAAGGGGACAGTGATTCTGCAAGACTTAGGAGAAGGAAATAGTGTCCCACAACTCCCAATTCCTTACCTGGTGAGTGATCCCCATGTCCGTACGTAGCCCCATGGCCAAAACTTCCTCCAGCCTGAGAGAAAAAGCATCAGGGCATATTGGAGAGGAGACCTGGGCCTACCCCAATTCTTAAAACCCTATGCTGGGATATGTATATGGGATACACATACAAGGAAGAGCAGGATGGTGATGGAGGGGGCAGGGCAAGACAGGAAAACAAAGACGTGCATGTGGGGAAGGCTCTAGGAGTGCACGCAAACCCTAGGTGAAGAGCCCTGCGCCTTCAGATGCTCACAGCTCCAGCTTGCTCAGGGGGATGCGTCTCCGGGTGCCATGCCCAAACAGCATCACTTCTTTCATCCAGTTGTCCGGCTCCAGGGTCTGAATCCGAGCCTCTCGGGTGTGGTCCCCGGCCCCTTGGGGTGCAAATCGCCCATGGGCCCCTGGCAACATCAACCACCACCCCCACTTTAGTAGCACCGAATGTTGTGTGCTTGCCTGATGTTGTATCAGTGGCTCTCAAAATGTGGTCCCTGGACAAACAGCATCTTATATGCTAGAAATATAAATCCTTGGGTCCTCCTCCCACAAAATCTGTTCAATCAGAAATTCTGGATGTGGGGCCCAGAGACAGGAGTTTGAATAAGCCTTCCAGGTAATTCTGATACACACTAACAATTGAGAACTACAGTGCCAGGCCCTACATCAAGCATCTCAAAATATATATTCAACAGCTCTACAAAGCAGATATTGCTGCACATTATGCATAAGGAAACGGAAGCCTTGAGAGGTTAATAAGTGGCCCGAGATCACACAGCCTTGACATTGTGCTCCTGAGTCATCCCTTTTACGGTTCACAGGGGACTCACCCGGCCCCACGCCAAGGTACTGACCGCACTGCCAGTAAGTCCAATTGTGGGTACTAAGCGCCCCCTGTGGGGAGGGAAGGAATAGTCCGTTCAGAGTGAAGAAGGTCAGGGGCACCTGGTTAGGATGTCCTAGCTCAGTCTTCAAGAGCACCGAGCAGAAACCGCCACCCTCCCCACAGGGCCACAATTGTCCAGTCATGGATTAGCCCACCTGCCTGTTCCCCAGCTTCAACCATCAGCCCCAGGACATACATTCCGGGCAAAGTTGGAGACCTCATACTGGCGGAAGCCAGCGTCTCGAAGCAGCGCCCGTCCCTCCTGGTACATCTCAGCAGCGAGCTCAGGGTCAGGGGCAGAAAGGGTACCCCGTTGCACCTGGGTGAAGAGCTCAGTGCCCCGCTCCAGAGTCAGCTGGTAGAGGGAGATGTGATCATCACAGCAGCCCAGCAGTGTCCGCAGCTGCCTGAGCCATGGCCCCACCTGCTGCGCCGGCAACCCCAGCATCAGGTCCACAGATACACGCCCGGGGAAGAGGCGCCGTGCCTCTGCCAGTGTCTGGAGAGCATCCCTGGATGAGTGTGTTCGTCCCAGCAGCTGGAGCTCAGTGTCATCCAGGGACTGAGGAAAGAGGGCCAGGTATAAGCACGGAGGCCAGCTGAGAGGCAGACAGGCACATGTGACCCACCTTACTGAGGACAGATACAAAGGACACACCAGAAAGCTGGGAGGCCATGGTCAAGCCTTGCAAAGCATTTTTAAGCAATGTCTAATGTATCCTTATAACCCTCTGACATTAGCTCTACTTTATAGATTTAAAAAATGAGGTTTGGAAATGTTAAACAGGGATGCCTGGGTGGCTCAGTCAGTTAAGCATCAGCTCAGGTCATAATCCCAGAGTCCAGGGATGGAGTCCTGCAAGGGGGGGGTGACCTTGCTCAGCAGGGAGTCTGCTTCTCCCTCTCCTTCTGCCCCTCACCCTGCCTGCAGCTCATGCTCTCTCTCTCTCTCTCTCTCTTTTTTTAAGATTTTATTTATTTATTCATGAGAGACACAGAGAGGCTGAGACACAGGCAGAGAAAGAAGCAGGCTCCATGCAAGGAGCCTGATGTGGGACTTCATCCTGGGTCCCCAGTATCACACCCTGGGCTGCAGGCGGCGCTAAACTGCTGCACCACTGGGGCTGCCCTCTCTCTCTCTCTCTTTTCTTAAGATTTTATTTATTTATGCATGAGAAACATAGAGAGAGAGAGAGAGAGAGACAGAGACACAGGCAGAGGGAGAAGCCGGCTCCATGCAGGGAGCCCAACATGGGACTCGATCCCGGGTCTCCAGGATCATGCCCCAGACCAAAGGCAGCACCAAACCGCTGAGCCACTGGGACTGCCCTCGTGCTCTCTTTGAAATAAATATATAAAATCTTAAAACAAAAAGAAATGTTAAACAACTTGCCCAAGGTCATACAATGGCAAAGTCAGACCTGGAATTTAAAACTGATTCTAAAGCCAAGAGTGTTTTTAAATTTTGCTTTTTTGAAATACTTCAAACCTCTACAAAAATCGAAAGAAGAGTACAATAAACACCTTCATTTAGATTCACCAAGTAACATTTTGCCACATTTGCTTGGTCTCTAATTATACATGTATGTGATTACAATGTTGAACCATCTGACAGTAAGTTATAGGCCAGCACTGACCAAAAGAATTTTCTGAGATGACAGGGATGTTCTCTATCCGCACTGTCCAATATAGTAGACACTAACCACATATGGCTATTTAATTTTAAGTTAGTTAAATTTCAATAATCATATTCTAAGTGTTTACTGACATGTGGTCAGTGACTACTGTACAGGTCACTTCAGATATAGAACATTTTAGCAGAATATGCTAGCCACTGACCACATACTAGTGAGCACTTGCAATGTGGTTGCCTAAATGTAATTAACTTAAACACTGTACCCCTGTACCCCTAAATACTAAAGTGTGCATTTCCTAAGAATAAGGACAATCTCTTACATAACCACAATCCAATTATAGAGTTCAGGAAATGTAGCAGTGACATGACACCATTATCTAATAGACAGTCATATTCAAAGTTGTCCCAATAATATTCATTGTAGTAACTTCCCTTTCCCACCCAAATCCAGGATCCATCTGGGTCACACATTGCATTCAGCTCTCATTGCCTCTTTCGTCTCTTTGAGTCTAGATACTCAGCCTTTGTCTTTCATGACATGACATTTTTGAAGAATACAGACCAGTTTTTAAAATGTCTCTTAATAAGTTCTAGATACTTACTGTACAACACTGTGCTTATAGTTAATAATATATTGTACACTAAAAATTTTGTTAAGAGGGTAGACTCATCTCACGTTATTTGTTCTTACCACAAAAAAAAGGTCTTTCTTAAAAAAGTTTATTTAAGTGATGTCTACTGTGGGACCCAAACTCACGACCCTGAGACCAAGAGTCATACACCGCAGATTGAGCCAGCCAGGCACCCTCAAAAAAGTCTTTTAATTTAGATTTTCCAGGTGATTCCTCACAATTAGATTTAAGATATGCATTTGAGGCCAGAATATCTCAGAATATCTCTTTTCAGTACATCCCATTAGGACAAAGCCCTGACTCCAAACTCTATGGTAAGTGGTAGGTATATTAGAAGGGTTGACAATACTGGATATGGAAATACCAGGAGTCAAACTGAAAAGAATGTGTTTCTCCCCTACTTACAAACCTTCAACAGGTCCCTTATTACCACTAGGCAAAAACCCAAACTCCCTAGTATGATGCTCAAGGCTTTTGGGCTCTACTGTGCAGCCTTGCCTCCAGCCTCTCCAGTGACAGAATGACTCATAGCTCCCCAGAATATGCAAGCCTCTTCAATATCCTATGTCTTTTCCTCCCACACCCTCTCTCCTGTGGAAGTCCTCTTCATTCAAAGATCACCTCCTCCAGGACAGTTTCCAGGATTTCATCAGACTGAGATGCCCTTCAGGCTGTACTCTGAAAGTCTTTTGTTGAGACCCCCTTTATTGGCAGCCTTTACCATACTGCACGGATCTGATGACCTGCCTGCTTCCTACTGTGTCTCCAATCATATAATAAGAATTTTTCTGAGTGTCTACTATGTGCCATGCGCTATGGTGGGTACTTGGAATACGATGATTAAAAAAAAAAAAAAAAAGGCGTGCATGATTCCTGCTCATGGAGCTCGTGGTCTAGCACAGCACCAATTAAGCAGCGTCACCATACACCTTCCACTGCCTACTGGGCTCTGGCACCCAGAGGAGTCAACACATGTTTGCCCAATTAATGAATGTGCCCAGAGGAGAGATGGCACTGAAGGCCTGGGTGCTCTGGGGTGCCCTGTGTGAGATGGGTTACCTGGAGGCCGATGGACAACCTGTTGACCCCTGCTGCCCCAAAAGCCGCCAGCCTGGAGCTTGGAGCCGAAGTGGGGTTGGCCTCCAATGTGACTTCCGAGTCTGCAGGCAGGTGAGCTGCCTGGTCCACCGCCTCCAGGACAGCGGCTACGGTGCTGGGACTGGCCAGACTGGGGGTGCCCCCACCAAAGAACACAGATTCCACTCTGGGGAAAGAGGACGGAGAAGAGGAGACCTGGAGGAGCCCTCCGGATGCCTGCACCGGTCCTGGCTACCCCCCGAAGCAACTTCCAAGACCTCAGCCTACTGCCCAGCACGGACCTCCGCACGCCGCTGAGTCGCAGCAGAGTCTGCGCCTCAGTCACCAGACAGCTCCGCACGGCGGCCTCCTCCACGCCCCGCGGGATGTACTTGTTGAAGTTGCAGTAACTGCAGCGCTTCTCGCAGTACGGCCACTGGGGACGGGCAGATGAGCCGGGCCAGGGGTGACCCAGTGGCCCTGGCCACTTGCCGGGTTCCGTCGCACCCACCCCACCCCCAAGTCCTCAGGAGCGGCTATGCCGTCTAAGCCCCACGGCTCCCCACGGCAGGTGGGACACGGAATACTGTGCCCCCACTTCCCTGGGAGAAAACTGGGACTCGGAGGGAAGCCCCTGGGTCAAGGTCACCGAGCTGGGGAGCGCCCGAGACTTCAGGTCCCCGGACCTCGGCATCTCCTTGCCAGGGCGCCGCGTCCGGCCCCAGACCTCGGCTGCGCGCTGGGACCCACGCGGGGGGCTTCACTGCGCGTCCAGCCGCCACGTGGGCGCCGCCCCGCCCCCACCCCACTCACGTGCACGTAAAGCGCCGCGCGCGAGCTCGGGGGTCCTCGCGCGCCCTCCGCGCGGCGGCGCCTCTGGGCCGCTCTGGCCGCCGCCGCCCAGCCTCGGGCGCGGGCCCCGGGGAGCGCCACGGCGCCGGGGGACGCGGCGGACACGCGCCCGGGGCGCACGGGAGCGCGCGGAGCCCGGCCGGCTGGGCCGCCGCGGCGGAAGGAAGGGGCGTTGCGAGAGCGCGCGCCGCCCCGCGGCTCCCGGACCGGCAGGCAGGGCCCCGGGGCTTCGCCGCTGCGGCGCCACCTGCTGGGCACCGGCGCGCTCCCGGCAGCCGCCTGTCCGCCCTTGCAGGGCACCGGGGTTGTGGGCGGAACCGCCCCCCTTTGGCACCCTGTCAGAGGGCGACTTCCCCGGCCCGTCTAGGAATTCTCAGTCCGTTCAATCAGTTCCTTCACATGTTACGTGCGTGGCTCAGGGCTGAGCCCTGGGGAGGTAGATGCATAAAACCAGATCTCAGTACATGTGCCTAAGACAGGAGAGGCAAACTAAGGAGAGACAGCAGGCGACAGATACCCAGCATCTGCTGGACACCAGGGCGATGTGCTCTGTGCTGCGTGGCCGGGCTGTTACGAGGGCCGCGAAGTCAGGGGAGAAGGAGAGGGCACTTGGGCTGGGTGTCGAAGTTGCAGAAATTCCCAGGGGCAGCCGGCTTGGCCAGGGGAGTAAGCTGTCATCTCCTGGGTCAGGCCAACCTGGGAGGAGACTCAAAGATGGTGTATGTCCGAGAGAGATGCGGTGCAGAGGAAAGAAAGGCCAGGAAAGCAGGCATCTGAAGAACTGCCTGATAGAGTGGAAAGACCATGGGCTTTGGAGCCAAACAAGCTGTGTGGCCTTGGATAAGACTCTGAACCTCTCTGAGTTTCCAGTCTCACCATTTGTGAAATGGGGCTAGTGCTTACTTGGTAGGGACTATGGTAGAGAAAATGCCTATGAAAGCACCTAGCACAGTGCCAGGCGCTAGGAACATCCTAAAGGGCCCTGGATTTTCTAAAAAGTAAAGAGGCTGCTGCTGGAAGGGACAGACACACTGGGAGGTAAGTATTGAAAGCAGCCGGAAAGTTTTGGCCTCTATGAACTGGAAACTGATAGGCTTTTTGGAACCCAGCTGTTTTTATTTCTTGGGCCAAGCTCCAGTGTGCTTGATCTGGCCCAGCCCATCAAGGAAGCCCCAAGTTCATCTATTTAAAAAAAAAATTGGGGGTGGGGGGTGGGTAGGGGAATAACAGGATATGGGATGATAGCTATAGGGTATGGAGGGTTTTTTTTTTTTAAGATTTTATTTATTTATTCATGAGAGACACAGAGACACAGGCAGAAGGAGAAGCAGGCTCCACACAGGGAGCCTGATGTGGGACTCAATCCCAGGACTCCAGGATCACACCCTGGGCCAAAGGCAGGCGCTAAACCGCTGAGCCACCCAGGGATCTCCTGGAGTTTCTTTTTAAGGTGTTGAAGATGTTTAAAATTGACTTTGGGAAGCAAATGTAACATTGTGTGTCACATATGCTTCAATGAAAAAATTGACTTTGGGGATGACTGCACATATCTATGAATATACTAAAAACCATTAAATGGGATACTTTAAATGAGTAAATTGGATGGTATGTGCAATTATATCTTAATAAAGCTTTTATTGTTTTAAAAGGAATACTTCTTGGGCAGCCCAGGTGGCTCAGCGGTTTAGCGCCACCTTCAGTCTAGGGCGTGATCCTGGAGACCCAGGATCCACCCGGGCTCCCTGCGTGGAGCCTGCTTCTCCCTCTGCCTGTGTCTCTGCCTCTCTCTGTGTGTCTCTCATGAGTAAATAAATAAAATCTTTAAAAAAGGAATACTTCTTGCTGGAGTAATCTGACAATGTGAAAAAGCAATGAGTATCCCTTTAAAAAAAATTGGGTGGGTATCTCAAAGGGATCCAGTGAGTGAGGATTAAATTAAGTAGATAATGAACGCCAAAGTGCTTAGCACCATCGTGACAAGGAATGGGAGGTCTGAAAGTGCTTCATCCCTTCTCCATCCCATAGCAGCTGCCAAGAGAGCACGCCAGCAAGAGACCAACCAAAGAAAACAGAGAAGCTCTTTATGTCAAGTCACAAAGACAGATGGGAATGTGGGGGAAGGGCAGGGAGGGCTTGTGAGGACCCCTCAATCCCTTATTCACAGGTTTAAATGTTGTTCCATCTGCTCTCGAAGTTTGAATTTCTGGATCTAGGGGAAAAAAGAACAGAGTGAGAGCCAGGCCCGGGGCCTCTGCCAGCAATGGTGACCAACTGGCTTGGTTTGCCTGGGATTGGGGAGTTTCTTAGGGTAAAGCCAGGAAGGTTTGGGGCAAACCAGGATGAGCTGTGTGGTCACCCTACTGCTAGCCTGGAGAGACACTTCTGCCCATCACTGAGGGAAGCATAGGTGGGGCCAATTGGCCTTCTGGGAACCTAGGACCCCAGCCCCCTGCCCTCCCCCCCACTCCCCTGCCCCTCTCTGGTCTCTGTTACACACCTTCCCTGAGACGGTGAGGGGGTAGTCTGTGACAAACACGACGTATCGAGGAATCTTGAAGTGGGAGATCTACAGACGAGAGGGAGATAAAGTGTGAGGCTGGGCGAGGTCATAGGTTTAGGGAGACTGGGTGCAGGTGAGGACAGGGACGGTGGGAGAGCGGGTTGGAGAATGAAGCAACTTCAGCTTGGGGTGGGTTGAGGTTCGTTCCCACCTTCCCTTTGCAGAAAGCCTTGATCTCTTCCTCCGTAGTCTTCTCCCCCTTCTTCAGGCGAATGCAGGCACAGATTTCCTCTCCCATCCGAGCGTCCTTCACTCCCACCACCTTCCAGCACCAGAAACAGTTCTTAGATATGGCCATGCCCATCCCGATTTCCTAATCCTGGGGGATCACCTGGCTCACCTGGGCTGGGTGACCCACCTGCACTTCCAGCACCTGCGGGTGTTTGTGAAAGAAGTCCTCAAGCTCTGCGGGGTAGATGTTCTCCCCGCCCCGGATGATCATATCCTTGGAGCGGCCCACGATCTTGCAGAAGCCCTGTTTGTCTATCACGGCGATGTCTCTGCAAGGAAAGCCCAGGAATGGCCTCTCACCTCTGCTTCATCTAACTGGCTTGCTCCCTTATTCATCAAACATTTATTGATCACCAACTGTGTGTCTTGCACTAGAGTCTGGGGGATATAGCATGAACAAGACATTCTATATATATATGCTTTTCGTGGCTGGCTTTTTTTTTTTTTTTTTTATCATTCAGGTCTCAGTTCAGGCATGTCCACCTCTAAGAGGCTTTCTCTGACTCCTCCCCCCCAGTCTAAGAGAAGCTCCCCTCTCCACCACTGCCACTCTCTTTGACCCTACTTTACTGTTTTCATGGCATTTAGACATGCAGAAAATAAGAGCAGGACCGTCCTCATCTTGGCTTCCCTCAGACGGCCAGCGTCCAGAACAGGGCTGGCAAATGGCAGGTGCATAAGAACTTGTTCAATTGACAGATGAGTGAGTCTTGGCTCAGATTTTACAGATGCCGGTGTAGGCCACAGCACTGTCCTGGGCACTCTCATCCATACTATGCTTGATCCTTTCAGGGGCCCTGTGCAGAGGGCATGAGCACCCCCATTTTACCCATTGGGGAGATTTTATTTATTTATTTGAAAGAAAGAGATATCAAAAGAGAACACAAGCAGGGGACGGGGAGAGGGAGAAGCAGGTTCCCCGCTAAGCCGGGAGCCCTTAGTGGGGCTGGATCCCAGGACCCCGAGATCATGACCTGAGTCAAAGGCAGATGTTTAACCGACTGAGCCACCTAGGTGCCCCTTTGTTCTCCCTGTTTTAGTTTAATATTTCCAGCTTGACCTCAGACCTCCCCTCCTCAGACCGCGCCCCCCCAGCCTCTCCTCACCCCAAGCTGCCTTCTCACCCTGTCCGATACCACTTGTCTGGTCCAATTGCTTCCTTGGTCTTCTCGGGCTCACCCCAGTAGCCCAGCATGACGCAGTACCCTCGGATGAACAGCTCTCCGGGTGTGTTCAGCTCTACTCGGTTTCCTGTCTTCATGTTCACAATCTGGGCCTGGGACCGAGTAGCTTCAGTCTGGGGCCTCCTGCCCTCTCACCTCAGATGAGGGGGCCCTCAGGGATGGGGAGAGCTTTGCCTTTCCACCCACTGGCTCTGCCCATCCCAATCCAGGGAAGGGAGAGACAAAGACTGGAGTGGATCCATCACCGGCTAGACACCTGAGCTGGGCTGGAAGAACAACCCAGGCAAGGAGGTGCTGGGGAAGCAGAGGGCGAAGCAGCTGCCGCAGAGGGGCAGGCCAGCTGACGAATTATAAACTGTGCAGAAGAGAAGGGAGTCTCCTCTTATTTCCCATTAAGCAGTAAATAAAGAAGCCAAAGAGGTGGTGTGGTAGAGACATGTGAACAGGAGGAGGCAGAGAGGCAGAGTTTGAAAGCCCTGGTAGAGAAAGGAGCCATAGCCAACGTACAAGAAAAACTTAGTCTGTGTGCCTCAGTGTCTGCATCTGTGAAATGGGGAGGACTTGGCTTGCCCCTGTCTACCTTGCAGCTGGGCATCCCAGCAAGTAGCAGTGAGACTGTCAGACACATGGGAAGGGGCTAATGTCACTGCACACTCACTCCCTGGCGCAGGGCAGGAGAGGTCTGCACAGAGGATAGTGGTTAGCCTCTGGGGAAGGGCTGCTTGGACACACTGGCAGTGACCCCACAGAGCAGGGGGTGGTGGTGGTGCAGGCCGGCATGAAGCACCAGTGTTGGCGCAGGAAAGACACCCCAGCTGGGAATTTCAGAGCGAGGTGCTCTGGGTCAGCCTTCAAGGTGTAAGGGGCCCTCGAGGGACAGGCTGCTTGGGAAATTAAGTGTTTACGCCAAGCAAACAGAGGAGCTCTGCAGAAGGTGGGGAGTAGGGGGAGAAATATGGGAGAGAAAGAGCTGTGTAGGAAAAATCTCTGTGCTCTGGCTTCTCTTTGAGGCTGTCCTGGCTGCCCTGAAACAGACAGTGGGGCTTGGCAAAAACACACCTCAGACAGGAAGGGAGGGTGCGGAGTTCAGCTGGCAGCTGCTCACAGCCACTGCTCCAGCTCTTCCCTCTCAGGCCTCGGCCCACAGAAGAAGCCCCAGGCCAGGCCAGAGGAGGACCTTGCAGCTGGGGGGCGGTGCGGGGGAGGGGGGTGGCAGCTCTGCACACCTTGAGGGAGTGTATGGCTCTTTTAATTGAAGGTGATAACTGTCCTCAGGAAAGGCACCCTAGTTGAGTGATAGGATGATAGGAGGTGGGGTCTAGAGGGCCAGGGCTGGGGCTCACCTCTGTGTGAGGCAGAATTCTGCCCACGGTTTCTGCCTTCTGCTCCACAGTGTCCTCCTCGAAGTTCATGAAGGTCACGGGACTGTTCTCCGTGGTTCCATAAGCCACCTGGAGGATTGGGGAAGGGTTGTTTGGAGGGAACCCTAGGATGCAGGGGGAAGGGGAATGAGAAGGAACCTGGGAGAAAGTAGAAGGCAGCTGAATGGTGGGAAAAGAGGCATGTGAGCAGAGGCCAGGGGTCAGGGGTCAGAGGCACTGTGTGCCCAGCAGACTAGCTCAACTGGCAGGGGCCCCAGGTCTAAATTAAAATTGAGAGCAAGGAAGCCATTCTTTTCTAGCCAGAGCTCTTTCCCTGCTTCCTGGAGCAGCCACATGCCTGAGCCTGTCGTTCCCTGCATTACCAATACCCCAGCCTTCTCTCCTTCATCCGCAGGCTGTCTGACCACCCCCTTCCTGATTTCAGACTACAACATCCCCTGCCCCTTCCTTCCAAACTGAAGGTCCCATAAACTTGATTAGAAAGCCAGCCCGCCTCGGCCCAACTGGGAACTGCACAGATAGAACCTGCCCATCCACCCACCCGAAACCTGGGGTCAGTGCCTGGCCTTGGGGTGGGTGATCCCCAAGCTTTTTCCTGTAAATTTACTTCCATCAGAATTAAAATATAGCCAAAGCAAGGATTTAAAAGCCAGTGGCACCCTCACCACCAACACTTCTAGTGGTTGGAACATTCTGAGCAACAGAAAACCAGAAGCCAGCCTTAGAGGAGCCTAAATACCACCAGGGAATGTTCTGAGCCAACTGTGACCCCCCTCTAGAGGCAACGGGTGAAAGGGGCTTAGGAGAGGGGCTAGCTACCCTGTATTCTAGGCTCCTGAGCAGCAAAGACAACAGACCTTTGTCCATCTTCCATTCTCCACCCCCTGCCAACCCAACCCCCAATTTCCTCTGTGTTAGCTGGCACACTGCTGGGGTCTGGCCCCTCCCCCTCTCAAACACAGACAAGAACCCGGACCTGGCAGCCCAGAGCTCAGACCCTGCCTGCCTCCCCTTCCCCTTCCACAGGAATCCGGACACGGTGGCTGGCAAGTGGACACACAGAGACCTGGTCGGCTGGGGCAGGGCTTGCCCACAGGACCCCAGCCTGCCTTGGCTCGTCCCTGGTAGCCAGAACCTGACCCCGCCCCCCCCACCCCCAGAGTCCTGGGGCCACTGCCCAGGTGTGGCCTCTGCCAAGTACACCTTGGCGCCACTCTGGCCACCACCCTGAGAGACCCCTCAGGGGCAGGTCCTGACCACTGGGGGTGCGGGTGAGGAGATGGAGATATTTTAGGGAGATTAAGGAGGGGGAAGGTGGGAAGGGGGAAACGGTGAGACTGCTGTTCAGTTGTCCCCACTCCATGCCTGCGGTCTTCAGGTGTGTCTGCGAATTCTGTGGGTCGTCCCACCCCCCTCCCCGTTCCCACATTTCTGGTTAGCTTTCAGCCGTGGAAGAACGGGACGGGAGTGCAGGGGACGGACGGAACTCAAGCCCTGCGCTGGGAGAGAGGGCCGAGACCAGCCCCGGGGGGGGGGGGGGGGGGGGCGGGCAGGAGCGCCCACGGCCTTGGGGTTGGCCCGCTGTCCGGCCGGAAGGGGGAGCCCGCCGCCAGCGCGCCTCTCGCGCTCCGCCCGCGCCGCACAAGAGAGCCATTAAAGCGCCGCCGGCCGGCCGACCGCGGCGAGACTCGCGTCCGGCTGTCCGGCCCCGCTTCCTGCCTCCCCGGGGCCAGGGCGCCGCGCCGAGCGTGTGGAGGGGGGCGCGGGGGCATGGGGGCGCGAACCTGAGCAAACAAACAAGCTCGGGGACGCCTCCTCTCTCCGGTGTGAACTCGGGGCCCTGGACGCGCCCGAGCCCCCGGTCCCCGAAGGACGGGGAGAGGAGGTTTTGGGGGGCTGGGGGCGCGCGGGGGCAGGATGGGAGCGCGGGGAGAGAGCGGGCCTGGGCTCGGGGGTCGGCGCCAGCCCCGCACGGTCGCCAGCTGGGGGCAGGGCCCCGCCCCTCCCCGTCGAGGGCGGGGGCGCATCTCCGGGCGGGAGGGAGTTAAGCCCGGTGGCCGGGATGCTCCACGTAGGAGCTGGCTCCGGCTGCCGGCTGCGGTCAGGGCCGCCGTATAAATAGGGCGGGAGACCCGAGTGCCGAGGACTCGACGCTGCCCGCGCCCCGCCGCCGCTGCCGCCCCCCACCCCGGCCCCGGCCTCAGGCGTCCCGGCCATGGCCCGTCCGATGCTCTTGCTCGTCCTCGGCCTCCTGGCCGGCCTGCTGCCGGCACTGGCCGCGTGCCCCCAGAACTGCCACTGCCACGGCGACCTGCAGCACGTCATCTGCGACAAGGTGGGGCTGCAGAAGATCCCCAAGGTGTCAGAGAAGACCAAGCTGCTCAACCTGCAGCGCAACAACTTCCCGGTGCTGGCTGCCAACTCGTTTCGCGCCATGCCCAACCTCGTGTCGCTGCATCTGCAGCACTGCCAGATCCGCGAGGTGGCTGCGGGCGCCTTCCGCGGCCTCAAGCAGCTCATCTACCTGTATCTGTCCCACAACGACATCCGCGTGCTGCGCGCCGGCGCCTTCGATGACCTGACCGAGCTCACCTACCTCTACCTGGACCACAACAAGGTGACTGAGCTGCCCCGGGGGCTGCTCTCCCCGCTCGTCAACCTCTTCATCCTGCAGCTCAACAACAACAAGATTCGGGAACTGCGCGCTGGTGCCTTCCAGGGCGCCAAGGACCTGCGCTGGCTCTACCTGTCGGAAAATGCGCTCACTTCACTGCAGCCTGGCGCTCTGGACGACGTAGAGAACCTGGCCAAGTTCTACCTGGACAGGAACCAGCTGTCCAGCTACCCCACAGCTGCTCTAAGCAAGCTGCGGGTGGTGGAAGAGCTGAAGTTGTCCCACAACCCCCTGAAAAGCATTCCCGACAACGCCTTCCAGTCTTTCGGCAGATACCTGGAGACCCTCTGGCTGGACAACACCAACCTGGAGAAGGTGAGCTGCTGGCTGCAGAGCTCTGTCCTGGCTCCTTTTCTGCCTAGAGGACCGGGGATCCGGGGCCGAGGCTGGGCACCATCCCTTCACCTCTAAAATTGCTTCTGTCTCTCTGGCTATCTCTAAGGTAAAGAGCTCTGACAACTCTGTCCCTCATCTTGCCTCATCCCCACCCTAAATCCCGCCCTGCAGCCCTCGTCCCTAGTCTCAGCCACTGCCGTCCTCAGATTCCTACTTATAGACGGAGCTGGGGCTGCCCTGGCCCCGCCAATGGCCCCTAGGAGGCATGTCCACTGCTCCCAAACCCCCTGCTGTGGGCAGGAGCCACCTCTTCCTGTTGGACCTTCCATCCCTCCTCTGCTGTTTTTTTCCTGTCTCCAGTAAACTTACCACCCCATAAAGGAAGGTTTGTTTATTGAGAAGCTTTCCTGAGGAGCTGTGCAAATCAGGCCCACAAAGAGACCCTGTTCTTGGTGGGGGGTGTACATGTGTGCTGAGGTGGGGTGGGGGACTGGGGGGTGAGGGGAAAGCAAACAGCTGAGGAGGAAGACCTCCTCCATGTCCCCTGGAGGTCCTGGTGAATGTTCTCCCTTTCCCCTAGTTCACCCACGTACACACCCCACTGCATTCCCTGGGCCATTTCAACTGAGTGGGGCTCGGGAACCAGGGCGTTCCCCGGGTTGCAGGGAAGACACCCATGGGCTCTATGAAGGGCCAAAGACGAGAGCCATATACCATCGTCAACATTTGGCACAAGACTCCAGGTGTCTTCCCTGCAGGGAAGACTGGCTGTGCCTCACTATCCCCCAGACCACTTACTGCCCTTTGCCCACCTTGGTCGACCAGACCCGTCACCTGGCTGCATCCCTGCTTAGTCCTTTCTGCCCTATAGGATACCCAGTGGCGCTGCCTTGGGTTGGGGCAGGATCCCTTCTCGGAACTGGAAAATCACTCTGGTACTGGGGCTTTGGCCAGGAGGTTTGGGCGGGGACCAGGGCAAGGTGTAGAAGACCATCATCAGAACAGTCTGGTTCCAGGGAACTTCACACCCCTCCTTGATCCATGGGCACAGAGTTGAGGGCAGAATCATGCCTGGATGGCAGCCAACCTTTGTCTGGGGGGATGGAGCCCACCCTTCTTCAGCTCTGGTCCCTCTAGAGATAAAGCCAGAGGTCCCTGTGGCCCACCAGTGCCAGAGTGGCCTTTTAGTAGGGAGCAGAGGAGGCAGCAGGGACTGATCTGGGGCCGGGGAGGCCAGGCAGCACTGTGATGACTGGGCCAAGATGTGGGCACCAATAGAATGTTTCCTCTGGAGCCATCCAGCCTGGCCAAAGGTTCCACTAAGGAGGCTCCACAAATAGCCGCTGGCAAGCAGTAAGAGAGGGAGCAGTGAGGACAGAGCTAGGGGAAGTCCTAGGACCCTGGGGCTTCGGGGAGCCTGGGCCCATTGCCCATCCCACCAAACACTGACCAGCTTCATGGTGTGCCAACTTGGGCCGCTGGAACCAAATTCTGGCTGCCTCCCTGGTCCCAGGGTTTGTGCAGGGAGTGCACTGCCAGGGGGAAGAGGAGCTGGGTGTGGTCCTGCCGCTACTGTTTACTTGCTAGTGTGACCCTGGGCAAGAGACTTGACTGCCCCTCACATCTGCATTTTGGAAATGACACCACCTATCTCAATATGTGGATGTACAGATCAGATCACCAGAGAGAACTCAGTCTCCTTGAGGAGCCGCTGCTTCTATCCAGGGAAGGACCCTGCCCTCCGGGGCCACAGAGCTGGGAGAGGCTGGGCACTCACTCCTGTCCCCCTCACTCTCCAGTTCTCGGACGGTGCCTTCCTGGGCGTGACCACACTGAAACATGTCCATCTGGAGAACAACCGCCTGAACCAGCTGCCTTCCAACTTCCCCTTTGACAGCCTAGAGACCCTTACCCTCACCAACAACCCCTGGAAGTGCACCTGCCAGCTCCGGGGTCTTCGGAGGTGAGAGCACCCCCACACTTCCAGAACCCACTCTCATGTGATGGAGTGGAGATGCACCGGCCCTGCACTAACACAGCAGGGGCATAAGTCCTAGATCTGCTACCTAATAGGGGTGGGACTCTAGGGGGTTGTGATGTGAAGATGACGGTTCCAGGCTGTCCTAGAGCTAAGTCCATCCTGACCCCCCTGGCTCGATTGCCCCTCCCCCAGCACTCCCACACCTCTTCCCCAAGCCCAGCAACTCTCTCTCTCTAGGTGGCTGGAAGCCAAGACTTCCCGCCCTGATGCCACTTGTGCCTCGCCTGCCAAGTTCAAAGGCCAGCATATCCGGGACACAGATGCCTTTCGCAGCTGCAAGTTCCCCACCAAGAGGTCCAAGAAAGCCGGCCGCCACTAAACAGGTGGGGGGCGGGTCCCCCACTCCCCTCTCTGGAGATTCTAGCAAGGGAGGAGGGTGTCCTGGGATACCATATCCCCACAGACAGGCATACAGATCCTCCATCTGCACAGGGAGGGCCAGGGAGGGCCAGGGCTCCCCTTTAAAGTGTTAATGGACACTGCTGGGGACTCCCATCCTTCTCTGCAAGCCTCGTCTGGGTCGTTGGAATCCTGACACCGAACCTTGCCTCTCCACAGGTCCTGACCCAGCTGGTCCTGGTGACCGGCCTCTGCCTTCCGCCGGAGAAACTACTGACCTTCCCACCTCTGACCCCCACCTTCTCCTCACAGCCTCTGCTGGCGCACAGAGCTGTCCACTTCTAGACATGTCCTGGCAGGGGGACACAGGTACTCTGGCACAGACCCAGCTCCACCTGATGGTGAGAGCTCCATCACCCCTGGCCCCACCGCCACGGCTCCTCTCAGAGAAGCTGTTGCCAAGACCTCAAGTCCTTCAGAACCAGAACAGGGTAGCCATCAGGATGGCCACCCTTCCATAATCCTCCTTTCCTCTGCTCCCCAGACCTTGCCATTTGGAAACAAACATCAGATCCTTGCCCCACCCCTTGCTTCCAGAAAGGGTCTTGAGCCCATACCCCAAGTCTGACAGCCCTCCTCCCCTCCCGCCGCCTGCCAGGACACTCTAGCAGGACACTGGTGCTTTGCCGCATACCCTACTGTGCTGCACTTCTTTCCCAATTTTTCATAAATATAAATGTATGTATGTGTAATATTTACTCTCCTGTCACCTATTTCTATGGCTCACCAAGCTGCTAATGGGGGGGGGGGGCAGACTGCATTTTCTCACATCTGCTTTCTGGAACGAGGGCCAGCCGAGAGGGTCTTCTGTGGAGATCTCCGGCCTGAGCTCATCGCACACCCACCAGTCTGTTCTCACCCCGGCCTGGCCTGCCCCCTGCCCATGGCCCCAGCCCGGCTTCCTTCCACTCACCACCAGATCCTTCATGTTTAGCTTGTCAGTGATGGTTCGGATCAGCTCTGGGGGTGCAGGGGACCCAGCAATCACACCTGAATCAGAGAGAGGACTGACACAGCTCCCAGCTTCCCAGGCCCAGCGGATCCCCATTCACCTATAGCTCCTTCTAGGGAAGAACATTTCCCTCTCACCCCTGACCCTGGCCTTGTTGCTATAGCTGGCAGCTAGCCTTGGGCTAGTGCCCAGGGACACTGAGGATCTGCCTCCCTCCCACCCACTCCTCTGTGGATCTTACTGCCCCTAAATAAAAGATTGGGCACATGTTCAGCTCACCAGGCCACTCCTGGCCTGGCCACCCTTGGCCCTATCCCACCTCCACGAATGGTCGAGATGTCATAACTGGAGAAGTCTGGCTGGTTCAGAATGTCCACGAACATTGTGGGGGTGCCATACAGGAAGGAGCCTCTGTGTAAGGTGGGGGAGGAATCTCAAAATCAGGCTCGGAAGGGGAAGGGAACTCCCTGTTCTCACCTGTCCCACCCTGAAACTGCAGTAAGGGCCAAGACCCCCCATGTGGGAAACAGGAAGGATGAGCTTTTTGGAGGCAGGGACTGGTCTTCCCCTGGGCGTCCCCCTCTACCCCTGGTCTCCATTTCTCTGGGCTAAAGGTGGGGGAGGCTCTGAAAAGTATCAGGGGCTCATCAGCCCCCAGGGGGCTGCCCACTGATGCTCACCTCTCTTTGCTGATGGCCTCCAGTGCTTTCTTGCCATTAAAGGTCGGAGAAGAGAGGATTAAGGTGGTACCATACATCACGCTCACCATTGTGCCCCCTACAGAACCCAGGCAGTGGTACAAGGGGCTGGGCAGGATCATCCGTTTCTCCTCTGGCGGCTGGAGATGGAGGCAGGAAGCTGGTTCTGTCCTGGAGCCAGAAGCCCCAGGAGCCAGTGGCCCTAGCCTGCACGGTTTCCCCATCCCCAGCAGGGCCTGGGCTAGCCGCCCTCACCTTCAGGTGCATCTTCAGACGATCCCCTATCAGGTTGGAGTTGTTGACAATGTTGTAGTGGGAGAGGGTGGCCCCCTTAGGATTGCCTGTCGTCCCCTGAGAAGACAAGCAGGTGATGCTTGGCCTCCTGTTCCCCATCTGCTTCCCACTCTGGGACACTGTATGGGAGAGCCCTGGAACTGGGCAGCAGGAGACTAAGACTACTGCCTCAGGTCCATTCATTCCGAGTCTGTGTTCACAAACATTTACCACGTGCCGGGTATTAGGATCCAGAAAGGTGGCAGAAAAGGTCTCTGTCCTTATGCCCCTCATAAATATGGCTCAGAGAACTCTGTGGCCCACCAGCAGATTCCCACTCTGGGCCTCAGTTTCCTCATCCGCTAAATAAGGAGGTGGATCTATCAGCTCTGGTCTTTGGTGGCCCAGCGCATCTGCCCCTGAGCTGAGGATTACAGGACCCAGGGAAGAGGGTGGTGTGTGTGGGACAAGGACACCAGTGGCCAATGTTTTCCAGGGCAGAGAGGATAGCTAGGGCTGGCCCCAGAAGAGTGTCTGCACTCCAGACTTCCTCGGTCATCTCCTCGTTCTTGTGGAAGGGTCATAGGGGTGAGGAGGGGCTAGCATGCTAGCCTGCGTGTGGAGCCTGGAGACCTCTGCCCTACCGAGGTAAATTGGATGTTGATGGGATCATGGCAGGACAGGAACTGCTGGGTGTACCGGAGCTGGGCCAGATGCTGCTCTTTGCTTCCAGTTTCCACCACCTCATCCAGGAGCAGGGTCCCCGGCAAAGGGTCGTCCACCGAGATGAGTGTGGTCAGTTCTGGGAGCCTGGGTTTAGGGAGGGTCGTGAGAGTCAGGGCCCAGGCTGATAGGAGCCTCATCCCTGGGCTTGGAGACAGGGGGATCCCAGGGGCCACACAAAGCACCCTTTCCGATATGGGACACCCTCACCTCTGACTCTTCAAGGACCCTGGCTGGGCCTTCTCCACCTCTGGACAGATCTGCTTCAAGATGTTATAGTATTGCTGAGTCTTGAATTGCTTGGGGAAAGCGAGAGCTTTGCAACCTACCTGTGGAGGTGGAGCCCCCCCACACCCAAAACAGTTAGCAGGAAGCCCAGGCAGCAGTTCCAGGGTAGTCATCACTAACAGTTGCTCTCTCACACATACACACCACCTCACACATGCACTACCACCCTCAAAGACACGTGTACCACCTCAATACACACACCAGCCTTGTGTCTGACCAATCACCCTCCCCTCCCACCCATACAGACCCAAGGAAGGACAGACACTGGGTGTCACCCACTTGTGCATGCCCTCCCCAACCTCCCTCCCATCAACTCTCTGGCTGTGCCGGCCAGGGCCCTTCCCTAGGAGGGGGTCCTACCTTCTTGAGAGCATACTCTAGCTCCATAGCCTGATAGGCTGGGTTCACAGACACCTAGTGGAGACAGTGAGGGTGTGTTGATCAGTGTCTCGGCTAGACCCCTTCCCTCTCGCTGCCTCTCCATTCTTAGGAGGCACAGAAACACCATGTCATCAGAGGCAGTGTCCTATACTTCTGGGCCTCCTTGGTAGGCTTCACGAGAAAGCACCATCCTGTGTGAAACCAGCTGGGTACTGATGGTTTGGAGGCCAAGGAGCTGGGGACTCCCCCGTGAATTGTGGACTCCCTACCTACCCAGCTGTGTCAGGCAAGCCCCTGCTTACCAGAATGATGCCCGCCCGAGCGGTAGCCAGCTGTAGGAGCACCCACGCATAGGAGTTGGGTCCCCACACGCCCAGCCGGTCGCCCTTGCAGAGACCGATACTCAGGAGCCCAGAAGCAGCCTTGTCCACCTGGTGTAAACAGACAGAGCACAGGGGTGAGATGTGGGTAAGCAGAAAGGGGCCTGTGACTCCCACCTCAGCCCTTCGCCCAGGGGTTCATATCAGAACACCCTGGGAACATGGAACAGGTCAATTCCCAGGCCTCAGTGGGCCCAGGGCTAAGTATCCCAGGCGGGATCCATGCAGGTGGCATCAGGCCCCTTTTGTCTCTGCCCTGTCCCATTCTCCTGCCATCCCTTGGGGTCCTCAGGCAGTCCCATCCCCCTGTTCCACAGCAGGTACGGCTCCTGCAGCTCCCCCAAGCCTGCACAGGCTGGGGGGGTAGCACTTGCCCACTTTGAAGGTTTAAGAGCAGGGCTCACCTCCTCTTGGAGCTGGGCAAAGGTCACCCTGATGTTTTCGTGGGGGATGACCAAGGCCTCTATGTCAGGCATCCTCTGCGCTGTTGCTTCCAGGCACTGCCCTACAGTCTTGTGGATAAGGCTATGTCTGGTGGGGCCCTGGATGTAGCTGAGGCCTCCAGTGGGCAGGAGGACAGTGTGATCCACTTCTCCAGAACTGTGGGGAGACAGGCAATGGACTCCATTAGGCCAGACCAGGCCTCTCTGGCACCAAGTGTTGGCACACCTGGCTGGGAGGCAGGTTGCTCACAACATGGGATGGACTACCTCAGAAACTGCCTGACCCTGCCCCATCTGCAGGAATCAGGACCCAATAGAAAGGTTCAGCTCTTATGTCACTCTAAAACTGTACTAAAACAAACAAACAAACAAAAATCTATTATTTTAAAAACAAAAACAAATAGTCCTCCAGAAGTAGAACTATCACATGGTGGACTTAGGCCTACATGCACTCTCTTGTTCCTCTGGGTGACAGGGGCTGGGCTCCCGCTGAGGCCTCACAGGGGTGGGGGGCAGGGCACAAGGTTCAGTGCAACAGGTCTGAGACCCTGTTCTCATCAGAGAGGGTGTAGTGTGGGGCCTGAAAGCCAATTCTGACCATTCACTGCTGCAGCTACTATGCTAGAAAGACCATGTGTATCTTCTGTTGACTGACTGCTTAGGTCTTGTGGGGGAAAAATTTCTGGGAAGAACAAGGTATGCAGGGCAGAGGGGAGCAAAACTGGGTGGCCCCATAAATGGGAAAGGAGCCTGCTGCCATCTTGCAGGAGGGCTGGTCACAAGGCAGGCAGATGGGGAGGCCGCCCGGACTGGTGGCTGCTTTGGACCAGGGAGAGGATGTGGAGTCACACATGAAATCACCCGCTACAGCTCTGTAGGGAGCAGGTGAGCACCAGGCTGGGATCAGGGACAGGGTCTGAGGAGGAGGTGTCTGAGATCTCATCCTAGGTATGCTGCTGGCTGGGTAGGCAACTGCCGCAGACACCTCTGGTGTCCCAGGTCACCTCCATGGAGCACCTCTGGTTTCCGCTACTGGGACAGTTCCCTGGAGATTCTATCCGCATGGGGGCTTCAATTCTCCCCTTCTGCAGCTGGACAGATCTGGGAGGCATCTGGACCTTCTCAGAGGTCCTGGGGGTTGCCTTGGCTGTGACTTCAATATCACACCCTATACCAGCTTCTCTTCCAGGCTCTTTCTCCTCACTCCTGCTTCCTAGCATTACAAACCACCTGTAGTCCTCATTCTCGGGGGAATCCAAGTAAAGACACAGGATTTTGCCTTTCTAGACCTCAGCTTTCCCACCCATATATGAATAGTTTTAGGACTGGATCACTGGTTATTCTCAAGTGAAAGGGATATTACCTAAATGGCCTGGTTAACCTTTTCTTTCTTCTTTTCTTTTTTTAAAAAAATAGGCTCCACGATCAGCGTGGAGCCCAGGGCAGAATCAGGAGGGAGCAAAGGGCAAATCTCAGACACTTTCATGGTTTTGTGGTCAACAGAGCCTGACAACACACTTCTTCTTACTCTCACAGTGACCAGGAGTCCTGTTTAGTTTGGAACCCGTGCTTCTACTCATTCGCCATGGATTTCAGACCAGATAGTCACCTCCTGGAAATTCTAGTTGGAAAATCAACAGGTTGATTTATGTGCAGCAAACAAACAGATACCAAAACAAAACAAAACAAAAGACAAACAAAATCCATTTCAGTTGTCACATGTGTTACATTTACATTCCTTATCTTCATGGCAGCTCTGATAGGTGCTGCGACAGAGGTCCCCAGGAGGCCCTTGTCCTTAATAAACCACCCTCACTCGGGGTGTTAAGCTGACCATGAACACATGGAATCCAGACCACATTCCCAAGCTTCCCTTGCAGGTGGTCTGGCCAGGGAGAGGTACTATGTGCACTTCCCTTAAAGGAAGGGGCATCATCTCTTGGTCCTTTCCACTGGGTGGAATGTCATCTGCTATAGGAAGAGACTGTAGCTCTCATCTTGGGCTGGAGTTTGACAGCGGGGCATACCATACCATGCCGCCACCACTTGAAGCCTTGGTGAGAGTGGGTTTCTGTGACATACACTAAGTTAATCCTAAAAAGTCCAGATAGGAAGCATGAACTGCCATGCTCTGGGTAAAGAAACAAGAATACAAAGAGGCCAAGTGGCCCACTCGGCTGGTAGTAGTTGGACCTGAAGTGGAGGCCTCAACACAACTGCCCCAAAGGAGAGCTATGACCATCCGCCATCCCCCAACCCCCACAAATCAGGGAGAAGTGGGTAGCCAATTCTGTTCTTTAGGCTTTGGATGTATCCTCCAGACTATCTAATCTCCATTTTATTTCTTCCACAACTGTTTGCTGGTTGAGCTTAATCAGAATTGGGGCAGGGCTGGACTGAGGTAGAAAGAGGCGGCTCCTCCAAAGGACTTTAAGGGACCTAGAAATGTGGATGAATGCACTTTGTTCATAAACGAAAGAACCACCCATTGGTTCCAAACCCCAAGGGCAAACAATTGATTCTACTTTCCTCCTTCCTTGAACACACCCCAAAGGCCTTGGGCAGAAAGAGGCAGCCATTTCTTTTTCTGTAACTAAACCAAGTGGCATACATTCCACCTAATCCTGAAAAAGACAACAGAGATTTGCTTTGAGGAAAAGTTCTGGCTTTGTTATTATTATTTTTTTATTTTTATTTTTAAATTTTATTTATTTATTCATGAAAGACATAGAGAGAGGCAGAGACACAGGCAGAGGGAGAAGCAGGCTCCCTGCGGGGAGCCCACTGTGGGACTCCATCCCCGGACTGGGATCACACCCTGAGCCAAAGGCAGATGCTCAACCACTGAGCCACTCGGGCACCCCTTATTATTATTTTTTAATTTGAGTGGGAAGCTTAAGGAGCAGGAGAGGGAGAACCAGCAGTCCCTATGGCTCCCAACTCAAAGAAGTAAAGTCCAAAAGTACCCCCCTCATATGCAGTTACCTGTGGCTAAGCAGAGGATCCTCCTTCTGACATATAGTCAGAAGGTCATGGGGTGCCTGGGTGGCTCAGTCAGTTGAATGCCTGCCTTCAGCTCAGGTCATGATCTCAGGGTCTTGGGATCCAGCCCCACATCAGGCTCTCTGCTCAGTGGGAAGCCCATTTCTCCCTCTCCCACTCCCCCTGTCCCTGCTTATGCTCTTTCTCTCTCTCTCTCTCTCCCTCTGTCAAATAAATAAATAAAATATTTTTTAAAAAAGTCACTAGTAGCCTAACACAGTGTCACATGCTTATGTCATTTACCTTGCTTCCTCTCATCATGAAGGCATTTTATTTTCTCATGTCATTACAAGAAGGGTGAGTATAGGAGCATACAATATTTTAAGAGAGAGAGAGAGCACATTATGTAATTTTTATTATAGTATATTATTATAGTTGTCCTATTTTATAACTGTTGTCATTAATCTTTTATGTGCCTACTTTATAAATTAAACTTTATCATAGGTATATATGGATAGGAAAAAGCTTTGCATATATAGGCTTCGGTACTGGTTGTGGTCTTAGGCTTCCACTGGCGGTCTTGGAACGTATCCCCTGTGAATAAGGAGAGACTATTGTAAACATTTAGTGATGCCTTCAGCTACATGGGTTGGGCATCCTAAAGTGCTTAAGTCAGCCAGGTGGGAGCCATGATGAAATGGAGACAAAGCCCCACCTCAAGGTGCTCTCAGAGAGTTGGCATTTGAGAATTCAGGCCCACTTCTATTGTCAGGAAACAAGATTTTTTTTTTAAGATTTTATTTATTAGAGAGAGAGAGCACATGTACGAGGGAGGAGGAGCAGAGGGAGAGGGAGAAGTAGACTCCCTGCTGAGCAGGGAGCCAGACAACACAGGGTTCCATCCCTGAGATTATGACCTGAGCTGAAGGCAGACACTTAACTGGCTGAGCCACCCAGTCATCCTTGCCCCTCCCTTTTTTTTTTTTTTAAGAATTCTCTTGACCTTAAAAAAAAAAAAAAAAAGAATTCTCTTGACCTTTTATTGTTGGCAGCTAATGTGTTCATGGTTTTATCTCCAGTGCTTCACGGAGCCTAGAACATAAGAGGTGCTCAGTGGAATAACCAGATGAGTGAATTATAAATATTGCACGTAACAATCCAATTAAAAAATGAGTGAAGCACTTGAATAGACTTTTTTCCAAAGAAGATATGTGGTCAACAAGCACAGGAAATGCAAATGAAAGCCACAGTGAGCTACTACATTATACATACTCACTCAGAAGGCTCAAATCAAAAAACCCAAAATAACAAGTGCTGGTGAGCGTGTGGAGAAACTGGAACCCTTGTGCATTGCTGGTGGGAATGTAAAATGGTGCAGCCAATGTAGAAACCAGTTTGGTGCTTCCCCAAAAAGTTAAACATAGAGGTTACCAATGACCCAGCAATTCTGCTCCTAGGTATCTACCCAAAAGAATTGAAAACAGGTGCTCCAATGCAGACTTGTACATAAATGTTCATAGCAGTACTATTTACAATAGCCAAAGATGAAAACAACCTATAAGTTCCAGCAATTAATGAATGGGTAAACAAAATGTGGAATATCCATACAATGGAATATTATTTGGCCATAAAAAGGGAATGAAGTATTGACATCCACTATAACATGGATGAACCTTGAAAATAATGGGCAGCCCGGTGGTTCAGTGGTTTAGTGCCGCCTTCAGCCCAGGGCCTGATCCTAGAGACCTGGGATCGAGTCCCATGTCAGGCTCCCTGCATGGAGCCTGCTTCTCCCTCTACCTCTGCCTCTCTCTCTTTCTCTGCATCTCTCATGAATAAATAAATAAAATCTTTAAAAAAAAGAAAATATTATAAGCTAAAGAAACTAGACACAGAAAGACACATATGGTATAATTCCATGCACATAAAATATTGAGAATAAGCAAATCTATAGATTTAGAAAGTAGATTACATGGTTGCTTAGGGCTGAGGGGAGGGAAAGATACAGAGGTGATAACTAAGGGGGGTGGGGTTTCTCCTTGAGGTGAGGAAAATGTTCTAAAATTGACCATGGTGATGGTTGCACATATCTATGACTGTACTAAAAACTAATTGTACAGTTAAAAAATGAATAATTTCACTCCTAAGTTTATATCCAACAGAATTCATGCATGT